TTCTGAGGCTTTCTTCAGTGTTCTCTGCCTTCTTTTCTCTAGTTAGTCAGCTCCTACCTCTACGGCAAAGCCCAGTCTAGATAGTCCCTTTTGTGATTATCCTAAACAGAACCAAGGGCATTTTCCTGTTTCCTCAACACGCCCCACTTTTTCCATATATTTTACAAAGAGCCTTTTATATTGCAGTTACAGCAGATGCTTTACAAGTCTGTTTGCTAGCTCCATGTTTGGGGGGGTGGGGCACTGACCAATGTTTGCTGAATATGAGAGAACATTTTAGAGCCAGGAAGAGAGTGATGATTCTGGATTCTTGAGACAATGTCTATAACGACATTCATGGATGGAAGGAGAGGGGAGGGCTGAGTTATTCTTCCCTTGCACTTGTAACAGCCACTTTATTTTGGAGAAATAACAAATTCCTATTAAGGGTATTGTCAGACCCTAATTAATTTCCCTGATCTGGCTATATTGGTCCTGTCTCCGTGCAAGACTATAGTGTTAGTACTAATGAAACACCAGCCAGTGAGGCGCTGAGGCTCCCACCCTCTTTAATTTAGGGGAACCATTAACAATGCTCTCCATCATCACAATTACTGGGGCCTGCTTCCTTCCCTCCCTGCGGTGAAACTCAGAGAGGAACTTGTGCAGCTAACTGCATATTAGAGGGTTTTAAATTTTTTCAATAGGAAAGAGGAAAGGAACATCTTGGCAATCTGGAACTGATGGCGCAGAATTTTCTGGGGGGAAAAGGGCCTATTACATACTGAATTTTAGGAACAGCTATGTGAAAAGAGTTTTAGAAAACAAAAGGGGTGAAGGTGATGTGACATAACTAGGGAAAGGGGAAGGTGGGTTGGTTTCGATTGACACCTTCATGTTAGTTAACTATGAATGCGCATGTCAGTTCCTGAGGGCGCCAAGCTGAGGGTTGGGGGAGTGATGACCAGTCTGGCGTTCCCTGTGTGTCAGGCCTGGCAATGATCTCACTGGAGACCCTGCACAGCTGTTATTCCATACTATAGATGAGGAAACTGAGGGACAGAGAGGAGCACCGGGATTGGACCAGAACATCAGAACCCCACTCAAGATCTGAGGGAAGAAGGGATCTCTGCTCTAGATCCAAAGGGGGAGGACACCAGAGGGCCTGCCCAGGATCCAGGGGTCGCACAAGGGGGTCTACCCAGGATCTGCAGGGAGCCCCAGAAGTCCTGGGGAACATCACAGTCCCTGGACTCTCTCCTCTGGGGGCCCACAAATCTCTCACCTGGAAGAAGAAGAGTGGCACCCCTGGTCTTGGAATCTTTCCCAGCTCTATCAGGGCTTTGATTGTAATCAAATTAAGGGTGTAAACAAGATTTATTAGGCTTTTAATTACCTTTGCAGCACTGATTTGCATACAAACAATGTGCTAATCACAAATGGCTTTTTTAACTACTCATTGAAAATCTGGGAGAAGGCAGAAATAGTGGTTGGCATCCATTGCGTGTGACTGAAGGGACTGTGAAGGAGTCTGCTGTCCGGCTACAGGTCCAGGTCCCTTCCTGCACCGGACTGGCCTCCCCAGCCTCCCGCGCCTCTGTAGGTGGAGCGGATAGGACAGCACCCACCTACAGCTCTGTGGGGGAACCAATCAGGGAGCGAATCCAAAGACTGCTCCACAAACAGTAATGCTCTCCAAATGTGTGGGTACTCAAGAGGCCCCCTTACCACTGTCACCTGCAGAAACTGCCTGGGGGCCGCAGCGGTCTGATCTTTTTCTAACACCTAGCTCTGTGTGCTTAGCTCTACCTCCGCCCAGCAGCTCTTCAGGGGTCACGGCTGCACTTGGGGGCACAGGCTTTACATAGAAGCCTAGTGCTGGGGTCAACGTCTGTAGCCTGATGCCTGAGCTACAGAGGTATGGCAATCACAGGGTCCCTAGAGACACCCCGAGGCTTCTGCTTCCAGGGGTCCCTCATCCTCTCTGTGACTGTCCTCAGTGCCTTCAGAGAAGGGGACTCAAGTCTTCAGAATAGCTGGGGTACCATTTAGTACCAACTCATGCATATCGCAGGGTCCCCAAGCTGAGGACCCCTGGCCCGATGTCTCCTTAGTGAGAAGGCTAGACCAGCCTCCTTCCTTCAGGCTAGTCAGGACATGTGGAGGATGATGATTAAAATGGTTTCTATCTGCCAAAGTACCTGACTTTCTCTTCTACTCTTTCTCTTCATTGGGTAATTGATTAGTGACTTAAAACGTGATGTACGTTACTGGAGTTTCCCTGGAAATGAGGGAATCCCCCCTGGGGAAATTCATAAAGTCACAAGATAAGATCCCCAACTGCCACTCCCCCAACCATTATGGGTCCTCAGAACAACTCTGGACCTGAAGGGACATGGGTTGGTCCCTATACAAGAGGTTATTATTTTTTTTTAAAGATCTATTTATTTATACAAGAACGGGGATACAGGCCAGATTCGCAGGAGGGTGGGAGGATTCACCACAGACAGAGTGGGGAACAGAACAGGCAGACTGACGAAGTACACTGCTGAGGGGAGCAGCGGGCAGCAGGAGAGGTCTGCTGCACCATGTGGGGCCCTTGCCCACCGGCTGGGATCGAACCGGCGCTGCAGAGGCTGCGGACAGCTTCACAGCACTGAGCTCAACCTCCTGTGCCACCAGGGGAAGCCCCCAAGAGGTTATTTTTGGCCTCAACCAACACCCTCTTAGAGTGGGAAATAGGGAGCTGATCAAATTCGGGTTAACAAGCAGATACCATTTGGGTGATCCTGAATGGTGAGCAGAGGGCGAAGAGCTAGGCTGGCTAGGCTCATTGTGGTTCAATGCCCTGCATGCCCCTTGCTCGCTGTGTGTTCTTGGGCAAGTCACTGTCCCACTCAGACCCAATTTCCCTTCTAGTTCTGCTACTAGGGATGGGAGGTACCATCTAGGATATAGGACACCTCATTGTGCTCTGCCAGGAGACTGGGTTCCATGGATCCAATTGGTCTATTAACACTTAGCGAGTTTTCGGGTGCACACAGCTCTCCCCTTTGACAGTTCTCCTGTCTAGGATCCCAAGCACACGCACAGCTGAGCCACTGGTGGTGGCAGAGTTGCCAAGCACTGGGTTCCAACCAGGCTCCTCAGGCCCACAGCATTTCTGGGAAGTCAATTTGAGCTCCAAGGAGCACTTGCTCGGTGGCCAGTCTAAGTCCTTCAGGGTAAAAGTTCATGTTCTTTGGGCAGCCTCATGACAGCCAGCCCGGCCCATCTTCCTCCTTCTAACCCCCAAGGCCGAGACTGCCAGTCATGTAACCCTAACCTTGCCTTTATGCCAGCTCTTGATTTTTGCCTCGAGCTTATTTCTCCAGCTAGTGAGAGTCAGCTCCTGGAGCACAGGCTCCCTTCATCTGCTCAATCCCAGGACTGAACAGTCTCCTGCCTTCAGCTCAATTCAGCAAAGACCTGGCAAAGGGCTGGCCATGGGCCAGAACCCTGGCACTCTGGGGCTCAACGGTCATGCCCAGGTAGCTCTGAGGCAGGTCTCTGTTGGGGCCCTTGGGGTCCTGGCCTGCCATCAGCAACAGCTTTACTGAAATGACTTGGAGGAGGGAAGGTTGGGGAGGACATGAAGTATGGGATGATGAGAGGCAGGAGGAGAATTAATGAGCTAAAACATTGCAAGGGTAAATGCAAATTACACAGCTTAGGTTGCATTCAGCCACAGCCTATGCTTGGTTCAGAAGACCTGTGGAACCAGGAGCGAGGGGTGAAAGGCAGATGAAGGCGGGCTTTGCCTCTCTAGAGCAGGGGTTCCTAACCAGGGAGATACTCCCACTCCACAACATGTGTGATGGTGTTTTAGTTATCTTGGGGAGCAGGGGCATGCTAAAAGAATCAAGTGGGCTGGGATCGATACATTAAATGCTCTGCAAAGTCCTGCACCATGAAAAATTACCTTGCCCAAATACCAACCGCGACTTCTTGCAAAATACCCATGGGGGGTCGGGTGAGGGGCTATTCTGAAAGTCAGAGCTGACCTTGGCCTGACCCTAGGTGTTGATGTGCACTTGCTATCATGCAAAGTGCTTGTGACTGTGGCAGGGAACCACATTTGGGGGCCACCCTGCTGGACAGGACACTGAACTCCAGTTGCTCTGAGGTCCCTTCTGACACTGAAGATCAGTGGATTCTAATTAGATTTCAAAAGCCTGGTCAACACCTGGCTCCCCAGCAGCACATTTATGGTGTGACCCAGGTCTCTGGGCTGCAGCTCCCTAGTCAAGCTGGGTAATGAGAACTGAGCTCTGACCACAAATGCCCCTTCTGGTGATCTCTGATGACAGCATGAAGGGCCCCGTTGTTCCAGAGATAGCAGAGCTTGGAGAGGGCATCCCAGCTCAGCAAGGGACCTGCAAGATGATTCACTGGGGAAACTGCCCATCCTGACCATGAGTCGTTCTGAGGCTGGTGCAGGGCAGCCAGGCCAGCTCTTTCATGCCGATGGCCTGTGTTGAACCCTTCCCCACCTGTGCTGCACTTCCCACCCCATCTCTGTGCTGAGCCACCTTCCAGCCTGGTGGGCCTGTGTTGGCTGTCCCCCTATCTGGGAGTAGGACCACCAGTCCAGGAACTTCCTGAATCCTTTCTGATTCTGGTTTCTCTGCTTTTGCCCAAGACCCTGCTCAGGAGAAAGGGAAGGCCTGAGTCCAGAGCAGCCAAGAAGTCCAGAACTTCTGCCAGAAGTCTAGAATCTAAGGAAGAGGCAGCTCCCCATGTAAGGGACAGAACATCCGGGTTGACTAAATCCAGCACTTTCTACCTATTTTGATGGGGCAGAAACCACACTCAGCCACAAGAATGTGAACAACTGGACTTTAGATGTGACATCCTCAAGGCTTTGCAGAAGCCCCCACCCCTGTTCTTCCCTGAGGGCATCTCCAAGAAGACTATGGGCCTGACAGTGGCTGCCAGTCCCCAGTCAAGCAGCCTGGCCCTGGCGGCACCTGCCCGCTCACCTGTGCGACAGAGTGGGTTTCATGGAGCTCATGGAGTTGAGGGGGGGCTGCATGGGGAGTTTCCCAGGGGGGTCGCTCTGGCGGCTCTTCTGATGTCGGAGCAGCAGCAGGCGGCCGAGTTCCTCGCACCAGGAGGACAGCAGGGCTGCAAGGAAGGACAGGATGGTCAGCGGGCACCTTGGCCACCACACCCTGCCACGCCTGCCCCCACCTCTGTGTAACATCAGGAGAAGACTCAGTATTCGTAGCTGAAAAGTGGGGCTGACACCCTGGAAGAGGACTTAAGAGCTTCTGCTACTATAAAAGTAGATCCAAGGAGGCTGATTTCAATGGCAACTAATTTAAGGAGGACCAGCCGGAGGCAGCAAAGGGGAAAGAGTCAAGATGAGGGCATGGTGCCAAGTGAAGATGGTGGGAATGGGGTGGGGGGAATGGGAGGGAACGGACAGACACACATGCTGTGTGGGGCAAGAGACACCATCATTAGCACTGCCAGTGGCCCCAGGCTTCTTGGTGAAGCTTGCACCCCCCACCCCACTGGACTCCTGACCAGGAGCCAACAACGCTGCTTCTTCTGGGCAGGGCCCAAAATCACAGGGTTTAAACATAATCCGGAGCCTTTCTGGAGCCTGCTGATGATCCCAGGAGTGATGGCAGGACCTCCCTGAAACTTCCAGAAAGTGTTCTGCTGAGCACGTGAGCACCTTCCCAAACCTTTGACCCGGGACTGGCCCCACACTACAGGGCACAAATACCCCAGAGTACAAAGCATTTCCAGGCAGAGGGCGGCGCAAGGGTGCTGACGGAGGGTCTGCCGGGGCACCCGAGTCAGGAGCACAGGGAACCCTGCATATCTACTCTTACAGAGGTTTACAGGCCAAGAGAGAAGCCATGAAGTAATGGGTGCTAAGAGGAAAGTGAGTTTCTTTCATGCTTCACTGTCCCAATGTGGCAATGCGGTGGGGGGGACCAAAAGAACCCTCAAGGTCAGGGTGTCAGGCCAGTCCTTCCGAAGTGCTTGACCACTGAGTGTGGTTGTGGGGAGGGAGCTGGGAGTCGAGAAGGCTGGGCTGTCACCACCTTGCTGTGCAACTCTAAGGAATTCACAGTCCCTCTCTGGGCCTCAGTTTGCTTGCAGGGGAAGAGGAGTAATGAATGACTCCTGCCTTACATTCCACCTTCCTCCCAGGGCTGTGAGGAGGGGCAGACAGAGGAACTGCTAAGTATGTACAGAAACAAAGTCGGGTGACCACATGCCCTGCTGTGAGACTGCTGACACATTGACCTGATAGTTCTGGAAGCAGTCAACCCAGTCACTGGCTGAATGCAAAGACCCCTCCCTCACTTCCAGGCTCTCACCTCTGGGTGCTGGACAACACACTTCTGTCCTTTCCTCAAGTCAACCCCACATGCACCATTATCCCTATTCTATAGATGGGAACACTGAGGCACGGGCAGGTAAAGTCACTCATTTCAGGAAGCACAGTCAGAGGTGCAGGGACATCGACGGTGACCCTGCCCCAAGCACTGGTGGTGGATCTGAGGCTAGATAGAAGGTGGGGAAGGTGATGAAACCTATCAGAAGACAAACTCCGAGGGGCATGGTCTCAGCTCCTCCAGTTCAACGAGGAAACCCTTAGGCATCCTCTGAATCACCCTTCACCAAGTTCAGCTGGCCAGGAAGGATGACCAGAGAGAAGCATAATGCCTAGGCCTGGAGAGGAGGGCTGGGAACCCTTGGAGCCCTGCCAGGCTCTGCCCCTGTCCAGGGCCCAGGTAAGCTCTATCAAGGGCGGGGAGCGAGGAGGACCATCAGACACTTCTGCGCATCACTGGGTGGGCTGGATGTAGGAAGCAGCTTTTGGGACTAGCAGAACAACCCCATCCATCCACTTCTGCCTTGGGCAAGCTGGGAGGGAGGTGCCCACATTCCTGGGGTTCTTCTGGTGTCAAAGGACAAAGTGGTTCTTATAGGGAACAGGGAGAGGTGGGGTTAAGGGCTCCTGCCAGGGCTGCTGGGTTTGTTAATTTGACTTGTGTGGTGTGCAAAGATGCCCAAGTAGGAGGTGAGCGGGACTGAAAGCCAGGGGGCACACCTGTTTCTCTCTCTAGGCAGGGTGCCAATGATCGGCTATGTCTTAAAAGATGCAGTCTGCCCCTCTCTGTGGGGCTCACCTTACCTCCAGCTGCAAAAGCAGGAGGGTGCCAGAGAGGAGAGGCCCCCACCCTGTGTCTGTCTGTCCAGAAACTATGGCAAAATGCCCCTAAAGCAGGCAACCAGCATACATCTGCCACAGCTGGGGGTGTGTGTGTGGGGGGGGATTTGGGGGAGTGGGTGGGAAGCAGGCTATTCAGAGAGGCTGCAACAGACAGAAGAGAATTTCCAGATTGCTCCATTCTTCTCCCAGGCCCCTAGTTACTGCTTCTTGTGCAGGGGGCATTGGGCATCTGGAAACTCATTTGCACACCAAGCACGAGCCCTGCTGGATCACAGCGAAGGAGGGATGGCTCGGCTGCCAGCACAAAGGATGGCCACAGATGGTGCTGCCCGCTGCCCACAGCCGCCCCTCCCAGCCTCTCTCCAGGGGGCCAGCCTTGCCAAGTGGGAGGGGATGGGAGGCACCATAGGGGCATTCAGAGATTCCCTCCAGTGTCATAGGCCACCTCCCTGCTTGGTCAAGGACAGCCCTCATGGCCTCCCTATCACTGGTGAAGTGGTTTTCTGCAAAGGGAATAAAGAGAGGTTGGTGGCATGGCAGGGTCTGCATGCTGTAAGCAGATGTGATATGTGTAACAGGCAGCCACGACACAACACAGATGCCAGGACAGCGACGTTCCTACATCCAACAGGGGAAGGGGGGGAGGCAGCAGATGAGGAGGGAGGCAGCACACCTCACCTCCTGGGCCTGAGAGGCCAGCTAGTACAGAGGCCATGCTGGCAGACAAGTGGCAGGAGGACGCATGGAGGACGGACACAGTGCATGCTCCCATCACGGTGCAAACCAGCACGAGCTGCTCAGAGGTAGTGCTTGCTAATGATAATACATGGCAACCTGCAGCCAGAAAGGGAGTCTAAGCACTCCCAGAGACCCTGGGGGACGATCAGAAAGAGGCAGGCAGAGGATGACAACATCAGACAGAATGGCAGCTCAGCTGGGTGGGGTCTACGTGCCTGGATCTGGGCCATGCTGCGTGCTCCTTCCGTCCTGATGTCTTTCTTTGGGCACTGGTTGGGGCAGGGCATGAAAAGGGACCACTGAGCATAGCACAGGCCCTGGGATTTGGGAGGGATTCCAGGCATGTAGACTCCCAGGCTGGTGTGGGACTCATCTTTTAAGACACAGGCATGGCGCACAGAGCCTGGCCTGCAACAGGATTTCCAGGAAGAGACACCAGCCTCCCTAACCCATTGCAGGCAGGGTCAGGAATGCCCCTCCGACTGTCTCGCCAGCTGCCATGACTAGCCCTGTCTCATCCTGTGAGTACCACTCCCCAGTTGTAACAGGGCTGACCCCAAAAGCCCCCTTTTCACACAGAGGGCTCTAATTTTCATATTAAGATAGCAGCTATGACTGTGTCCTTTCCCCCCGTCACACAGCACAGCCTGCTTGACTTCACCCAGGTTTCTAAGCACTTCCGCACATCGCAGCAAGAAACATGTACGCCTGCGCTTGGCTCTTGAGCACATGGGGGCCTCCCGTACCCCTCCTACCTGGCATCTTTATTTGCCAGGTTTCCCCCAATCTCACCTTAAGTACTTGGTTGTTTGATCATTTACCCAGTATTCACTCTGCAAATGGCTGCTGAGTACCTACTGTGTGCAGGAGTTCCTGTGGTGAAGTGGGTTAGGTAAATGCCCTTGCTAAGACCTTTCATAGCTTCCACTGGAAGTGGAAGTCGAAACGTGTAAAATCGAAAAGACTAGGAGGCAGCCCTGACCCTCATTTTCTATTAACTTTAGGGACCAGTTATCCCTCTGGGGTTCACCAGTGGGATCCCAATATTCTTAGTTCCACTGCTTAGAGTTATGTGGCCTCAGGCAAATCACACAAGCTCTCTGCACCTCTGGCATGAAGTCGGCACAGAGTCCCAGAAAGCTGTGTGTGTGGTCTTGGGAGAGCAGGTGGGACATCTGCAAAAGTGTCATTTGCTGCAGGCAGCAAAGTGTTTTGTGAATGGGAGGAAATTTTCCCAGCTCCCTGAAGGGGTCAAGGTCACCCACACCAGCCTAGGAGAGAGGAGGGGGTGGGATGGGTGTGGGCAGGTTGGGAGCCATGGCTAAGCACACTGGCTTGGAGTCCAGACCGGGTTCGAGCCCCATGGCCTGCCACAAGCTGTGAGATCTCACACGGGCTGCTTTACCAACTGAGGGGACCCCAGTTTCCCCATCTGTAAAATGGGTTAAACTGAAACTTCCTGCTTCAGAGTAGAGGTGAGCTGTTAATTAGTATCAATCGGCCAAAGGGGTATTCAAGTGGAAGTCAAAAAGCAGCGGAGGGTGGGTAAAGAACCAAGGGACCCAGTAACCCATGGCAGCCTCTCAATCCCACACCCACCACGGCCTGGTGTATCTCTGGGAGAGCTGGTGAGACCCCCGACTCCAGAATAACTGGCAAGACCTGACCCAGCTGGGTGTCCACCACCATCTGACAGCTCCAAGAGGCCTAACCTTTCAGTGCCTGTTTCCTCAACTCTAAAATGGGGGCCGGCGGGGGAGTCTCCTCATCTCATAGGGTTGTTGTAAGGATAAGCTGAGTTAATATCACTAAGCGTAGGAAGAGTGACAGGTAGGCACAGTCCAGAGGAAGCAGAGTCCTGGGGCGTCAATGAAGGGAGAGGAGACTCCAGCAGGGAAGAGCCATGACTGGCTGCCTCTTCTGCTCCCACTGCCTGTACCTGTCTCTGTACTTATCCTGAAAGCCACAGGGGTGCAGGGGTTCCTTATCCAGACCTGCCAGGACTTAAACGACTATGGTCATTGGCTAGAGGCATGTGTGCAGAGTTGATGCTGTGTCTTGGTGTGATTAGCAGGTGTTTTCCTTCCAGGCGGTTCACAAAAAATAGTCTGAGTGACCACAGGGGCATCTCCTATTAATGGGATCTAATAGACATGTCTAGGCCCCCCTCTTTCCCCCAGAGCTAAGG